CTTTTATAAAGTAAAAAACACATTCGACACAGTTTTGGGTACATTTGGCTAAATTATGCCAAAATACCATTTCCGCCTGGCACACTGCTCACTAAAACCTTTGTGAAATGAATATACTTCAACTTATTCAGTCCTACTTTGCTACAGTTTTTCTCAAGATGTAGATGTGTAAAATCTAAGGGCATTTCTGGGTTTTCGCAAGAGTTTTCATTGTGTTTTGCACTGTTGATTTAAAAAAAAAATTTAGGCGGGGCTAAAAAAAATCACAAATGATCTTTATTTAATCACAAATAACTCAGGCACAGTAAGAGTTACAATAATGGTTTCACTTAAGAAATTATCTTTAAGATCTTACCTTTACAGAGGTACCAAGAGCTAGCATTTAGACCGTATAACTCTGGAGCTATTCTTGCTTTATTTTGCTGTGTATTTTCAGGCGGAAATTACCTCTAAAACCCCTTAAGGTTTAACAGGACCTCTTCACAGAGTCCTGCTTCAAATGACTGATGGTTGATTTAATGATCATCTTATTACAGCTTATTACTTATCACAGCCAGTTTAAAAAAGAAAAACAAATATCCCTACCCGTTAATATGTGATTTTTAATTTTGAAAATGTTGCATTGCAGCAGTTGTGGATCTTCAGTTTGGTGTGTTACTCAGTGAAATCTACCAATATATTTTCAGGAATAAAAGTCTAACCCCTGAAGTTTGTAAATGGGTTTTAGGTGCCTGTAGTATTGGAGGAAATGACTGAGTGCAGCAGTCTTTGAGCTGTGTGGAGCAGCGTGCCTCGGGATGGAAGATTATAATGACAAATGCTCAAACAGGGGAGAAGCTGTGCAGAAATAAATTAGTTGCGTAAAGCCACTCTTCTGCCGGGAAAGTGCACAGGGACTTTAATGAACTGTGTTGTGTTTGTTTCTATTTTCCACAAGCACAGCTCTTCCACGACTGTGACTCTGAAACCTGCTGGGATGTAAAACACGTTTTCCAGCCTTCTGCCAGAAAGGAATGAAAGATTTCCTGAAGACACTCAGCTGAAAGGTGAGCGTACTTCCTGTAGCTCACCAAAGACTCGGAACTGCAGCTCCTCCCAGTCCTCGTCTTCCTCTCTCTCCTGCAGGCCCCAGGCCTCCTGCTCCACCACCTCCTCCGCCCGGTTTGCACAGGCCCGCGGAGAATTCTGGTTCTCCACATAGTCTAGTTCTTGCTCCGCTTGGTCCACTCGAACTGAAGCTCCTTGCAGGACTTTGGACATCAAGCGGTGGTCCTTTTTCAGCTCATTAATGACTTCAAATGTTAGCTTTTTAAAATCCAACATCTCTGTGTGGTACCGGTGGGACTGATGGCGCCACAGCTGCATGCGGTCCTGAGTGACAGAGAGACAAACACAAGAGTTACACCAGACTAAGGGAGAACATGTCTGTAAGTTCAGTCATTCACTTGATGAATCATGAGATAGATAGATAGACAGATAGATAGATAGATAGATAGATAGATAGATAGACAGATAGATAGATAGATAGATAGATAGATAGATAGATAGATAGATAGATAGATAGATAGATAGATAGATAGATAGATAGATAGATAGATAG